CGCCGTGAGGACCCCTCCCCCACGTTTAACCTGGGCGGACACCCCCTCCCGCCGCCCACAACCCGACCCCGCTGCTTCCCCCCTTCCCAGCCCGGCGCGGGGAGCCCCGGCCTGGTGCGGCCTAAAGCCGCGGCCTCGATTAGCGGCGCGGGCCGGGCCCAGGACACTCACCCACCGCCGCCATGAACGAAACGCCGCGGCCCCCGCGCCTGCGCAGTCGCCCGCCCGCCCCTACGTAAACGGCGCAGCGCGCGGCGGGAAGGGGTGGAGCTGAGGGGAGTTACGCAAACCGCGTCCGACTTGGCGGCAGGGCAGAGCGGTGTCGGAGCAAGCTGCGCAAGTAGCGGGAGAGTTACGCCGCAAGGCTGGGCTTCGTAGAGCAGGAACTGCGCAAACTTCGTAGGCGAGAAGAGGCGGGGCGGAAATGTCGTTACATCACCATAGAGAGCGCGGCTCCGGGAGAGAGAGTATCCGCAGAGGGGTGGCGGCTGCCCCCTAGTGGCAGGGAGGGGTTACTGCGCGCAGCGCCCCAGGGGAGCCCTGTAGGGTGGACACAGCCATAGGCTGGTGGGAATGATGAAATGAGGGGTTAATTACAATTAGAATGTTAATGGCCGTTAGAATGTTAATTTGCATTAATTGCAATTGGAAAACCCTTTGCACACTAAAGGCAGGGCTCACTTCCCCCAGCCCTCCCTGGGTGACACCCGCATCCCTAGGTTTCAGGCTTGGGAGCATTTTGGTCCTGAACTGGTCCCCAGCGAAAACTGGCTGCAGGGCCCTCCTTGCAGGTGTCGGAGCCCTTCTCTACAAGAACAAGTGCAAAGTCCTGCACTTAGGACAGAGCAGTCCCATGCACCGGTGCAGGCTGGGGTTGACTGACTGGGCAGCAGCTCTGCAGAAAGGACCTGGGGGTGACTGGACAATGAGCTGAATATGAGCCAGCAGTGTGCCCTTGTTGCCAAGAAAGCTAACGTCATCCCAGGCTGCATTGGTAGGAGTGATGCCAGCAGATCAAGGGAAGTGATTCTTCCCCTCTATGCAGCACTGGGGAGGCCACATCTGGAGTACTAGGTCCAGTTTTGGGCCCCCCACTACAGAAAGGATGTGGACAAATTGGAGCGAGTCCAGTAGAGGACAACAAAATGGTAGGGGGCTTGTGAGGAAAGGCTGAGAGAGCTGGACTTATTTAGTTTGCAGAATAGAAGACGGAGAGGTGATTTAATAGCATCCTTCGATTACCTGCAGGGAGGTTGCAAAAAGGATGGAGCTGGACTGTGGTGGCAGATGACAGAACAAGGAGCAACGGGCTCAATTTGCAGCAAGGGAAGTTGAGGTTAGATATGAGGAAAGACTTTCTCCCTGGAAGGGTAGTAAAGCATCGGAAAAGGCTTTCCAGAGAGGTGGTGGGATCTCCATCCTAGGAGGTTTTTAAGACCTGGCTAGACAGAGCTTTGGCTGGGATGATGTAGTTGGGGCTGGTCCTGCTCTGAGCAGGGGGTTGGACGAGATGTGACCTCCTGAGGTCCCTTCAACCCTCATGTTCTGTGATTCTTTGATTCTGTATTTCTCCCTGCTCCCCGTAGGAAGCAAGACTAGCACTGGGATGGGACTGAAGGTAATGCACATTCAAATCTCTGAAAAGGAGGATTTGCAAAGCTGAGGTAGAAAGCCCTTTACCATCTCAGCCCCTGGGTTGTAACATCCCCTGTTCTTTACATGGAGCCAAACCCACCAGGCATTGGGGTCAGAGCGGGGCTGCCCCCTGTGAACGAGTGAGCCCCACTGATGCTCACAGGCACCGTTCCCTCACCTGCACCGCAGGGCAGGCACCCTGCCTTTCCCAGCACCAATTCATAGTTGCAACTAGCTTGACACCTTTGGCAGTATCATGTTAATGCAAGAGTGGATATCTCTGTGCCCCCTGAGTCACCAGTTCCTCTGTACTTTGTGCACCCACCCCAAGGAGACAGAGAGGAAGAGCCAGCCTGTGCGTGTGCCCGTTGCATGTGTGTAATCAAGTCACCCTCTCTGCGGACATCAGAGCCCTTCTCCCTGCTCTCAGCAG